ATTGGATGTGCCACTAGCCTGATTGAAAATGGCTTCTCTTATGTTCTTATGTCTGGGGCAGTGATGCTCTGTATTCTTGGTGCTTGGGGGGGCCACAGTGAGAGGGCTTCTTGAGTTCTGGTCCTGCTGGTGGACCTCCTGATGGAGTCTGGGTTTTGGCCACTGTGTGTGACACAGAGTGTTGGACTGGATGGGCCATGGGCTTGATCCAACATGGCTTCTCTTAGGTGCCTATGTAGGTTCCAGGTCTTGGCACCACAAAGCAATCCCAGAAGTGTGGGAGCCTTCCTGGCCTCCTCACAAAGTGAGGGTGGCCACAGAGAATGTACAAGGATGGACTATTACCGTTTGCAGGGTGGCACCTTCAGACATCTTTTCTCAATTGAGCAAAGTTGTCATAGCAGAGTATGGCCGGAGGAGGCGGTCGTGCAGGTATCTGGGCCGAAGGCCATTTAAGACTTTGGGGGGAGTGATGACTCACACCTTGGATTGGGTGTGGTCAACAATTGATAGCCAATAGAGTGATTGAGTGAGGGAGTGGTCTGTTTCTGCCATTGTTGGATAAGCCACAGTTTGGATACACCCCGTGGCTATAGTTTCAAAGTGCTGGTTCTTACCTTTAAAGCCCTGAATGGCCAGGGACCGCCTACCTGAGGGACCGCCTCTCCCCATATGTTCCCCCAAGAGCGCTGTGATCGGGGAGTCTGGACCTCCTAGAGGTTCCAGGCCCCCGGGATATCAAGCTTGCCCTAACCAAGGCCAGGGCTTTTTCGGTGGCGGCTCCTACCTGGTGGAATGAGCTCCCGGTGGAGATCCGGGCCCTGCGGGACCTGGTACAGTTCCGCAGGGCCTGCAAGACGGAGCTCTTCCGCCAGGCTTTCGAGTAGGAGCCGCCGCCGCCGCCGCCACTATACCACCACCGTGGCTTGATTTACCATCTACCTGGCTTTGGATGGGGGCCGTCGTTGCCCACAAGAGGAACATTACTCTGCCGTCCCTGCTTCTTATACCATCGGCCGCCAGTGAGGGACATTGACCACCTTGAACTTTTAAAATGAATTGTAGAGCACCATTTTAGTCTGTATTTATTAAGGTTTTAATGTAATTTATGTTTTATCTCCAGCGTTGCCGCTTGTTTGCCGCCCTGGGCCGTATGGGTAGGGCGGGATATAAATCCCAAATAAATAAATAAAGAAATAAAATATTGTGGACCTTAACAATGTGTTTGACCACTTAGGTCTTTTAAGAACAGATTCGCATCGGAACAGACCTTAAGGAGCACCCAGCTCCCCCTTCCCACGAGAGGTGTCCTTAGGGAAGAACTTCTAGCTCAGTGATGGTGAACCTTTTAGAGACCGCGTGCCCAAACTGCAACCCAAAACCCACTTATTTATCGCAAAGTGCAAACACGGCAATTTAACCTGAATACTGAGGTTTTAGTTTAGAAAAAACAATTCATACATTAACATAAGATGATCCAAACAAAGTAAGGAAAGCTATCACAAATGCTTTCGTTTACTTACAATTATTTGGCAGAGAATTCCACACTTTAATGACGGTCTGGGCCTGGCTGAGGCGGTGGCACGCGTGCCCACTGAGAGAAGAAGAAGAGATTGGATCTATACCCCACCCTTCACTACCCAAAGGTGTCTCAGAGCGGCTTACAAACTCCTTTTCCTTCCCCTCCCCACAACAGACACCCTGGGAGGTGGGTGGGGCTGAGAGAGCTCTAAACAGGAACTGCTCTTTTTCAAGGACAGCTGTGCCAGAGCTTGTGACTGACCCAAGGTCCATCAGCAGGTACAAGTGGAGGAGTGGGGAATCAAATCCGGTTCTCCCAGATTAGAGTCCGCACACTTAACCACTACACCAAACTGGCTCTCTGTGTGCCTGAGTGCCGCCTCTGGCACACGTGCCATGGGTTCGCCACCACTAGCTGATATTCTTTGAAAACCTCCGGGAAAAGAAACAGCATAATTTCTTGGCACAACACATTTAACTTCCCTCATGTTGTGTTGCTTAGCAGGCCCTTGTGGTTTCAAACTCCTTTTAGTGCCCTGTTTAATTTTGGAAATAATGGGGGGGGCCGGATGCCCACTCCCATTGTTGTCCCCCTCCCGGAATGCGCAGAGCAGTGGCGCTTTGATGTTTTCCTTTTAGAACATTGTTCCCTGCACATGAGTAAGTATCCCCCACAGTCCAGCGGCTTCCCACTTAGTTCTGTTTTCTGTAAACAAAAAAGAACCTGAAGCAGAAAACAGCTGTGCAGTTTTTATTTTTCTCATGGATTTTTCACAGGGTTTAAAACACTGTTCTATATTTTTCTGTTAGTCTAAAATACCTGAAAATAGCTGTTAAGGCTTCTGCCACCACTTAAGTGTGGCACATTGTTCTTCGCAGGCCACTTGTTCTAATTCTTCATTCCACTTGCCCCAAATGGAACCCTCTTTCCTGTAAGTGGACATAGAACCATAGAATCACAGGCTGTTAGAGCTGGAAGGGGCCTTGCAGGTCATCTAGTCCAACCCCCTGCAGTCTGCAGGAGCACAGCCGAAAGATAGCCCTACGACATACCCGGAAGATGGTCGTCAAGCCTCCGCTTGAAAACGTCCAGCGAAGGAGCATCCACCACCTCCCAAGGCGGTCTGTTCTACTGCTCAACCACTCTGACAGTTAGGAAGTTCCTCCTGATATTTAGCCGTTAACGAATCCCTTGTCATTTCCACCCATTAGATCTAGTCTTGCAATCCGGAGCAAGAGAGAACAGATCCGCTCCATCTTCTACATGGCAGCCCTTCAAATACTTGAAGACTGCAATCATGTCCCCTCTAAGCCTTCTCTTTCCCAGGCTAAACAGACCCAACTCTCTCAGCCTTTCCTCATAAGACCTGGATTCCAGCCCTCTTACCATCCTGGTTGCCCTCTTCTGGACACGCTCGAGCTTGTCAACATCCTTCCTAAAATGTGGTGCCCAGAACTGGACACAGGACTCCAGGTGGGGCCTGACCATATATTTATTATATGGTGTACGCAATGGCAAAGATTAAAAGATTAAAAACATAAGGTCTGCTTATGTCAATGTTCTATGCAGTCTGATATTCAGACCTTATGTTTTTAATCTTTGCCATCATGCATACCATATAATAAATATATATTCTGATAATATTTCATTTGAGGTAATTTGACCCTTGCAGCATTATCAGTATATTTTGGGTTGGTTTTGTTTTATCGTTTTTTCTTTGTTTACCCTCTTCCCTGTGTACATTTTTTGTTTTTGTGCGTGTGCAGCAAAGCAGGTCTGGCCTGATCTAGTCCATGGGGTCGCGAAGAGTCGGACTCGACTGTGCGACTGAACAACAAGAAAAGCAAAGCAGATACATTTCTCCAAGGAGAATAGTAGGGTCGCTTCCCATTTTTAACACTTCACTTGTAATATTTTTATGCCACCCTCTTACTTGAAGAAAAACACTCTAAGTGGCTTACGGGGGGAAATGGGAACATTAACATTGGGTAGATAAAAATAAGAATTTAAACTAATAAGAATGAAATGGCAAGTGAACTATCTAATCTGTCTTAAAATACTGATTGAGCCTGGGACTCAACCTGGGACCTTCTGCAGGCCAAGCACGTGCCGCAGCAGTGAGCCAGTCTTCCCTCTAAGCTGAGTCACAGTGTGAGCTGGCTCACAGTTCTTTAGCCTCCGGCTCACTCATTTTTGCCTTCGCTCAGGAAGGAGGGCTCCAGAGCAGTGTTCCTTCTAAGATGAGTGAGTGTGAGGTAGCTCATAGTTTTTTAGCCTCTGGCTCACACATTTTTGCCTTAGCTCAGGAAGGAGGGCTCCAGAGCACACTCATTTATGCAGGAGCCAAATCCCTCACTCACAACGTTAATGCCCATAGCTCGCAAAGTAGAATTTTTGCACCCAGGACTCCACAGCTTAGAGGGAGCATGGCCTGTGAGCCACTGCTCCCCTAATGATCTGTGGTTTTTAATTAAGTTTTCTACCTTTTCAGGAAAGAAAGGCGCCTTTGAAACCGAAATTCCCCCGATAGTTTGTTTGTAACAGCTAAAGATTCTGTGTTCCGTCTGTGGGCTTGTGTCAATTTGACAATCTTGACTGTTCTTTTCCCGTTCTGCCTCAGCAACAGTTCTGTTTGCAGAGTATACAAAGCCGTGCAACTTATGCAGCCTGGGCACGTAAGGCAGAAGAGGGTGGGGCGGGGCAAGGCGGGGCAAGGAGAAGGAGAGGTCATGGGCTGCAACGAGATGGTCCTCTATCCCTGCTTGCCATTTAGAATCTGGTGGTCAGTAAAAAGAGTTTAAGTATTCCAGGTATAAACCATGTTCTTCTGTGTGGCTTCCTCCGTAGCGATTGTTCTGTCGCTGTGTCACTTGGAGTCCATTCCTGTTGTTGGGTAATCTGAGCACCACACTGTTACCCCCCTATTACTGTGTGGAAGGTCTTGTCCGGGCTCCGTGGCATGTGGGTAAACGGTTTGAAAAATAAAGTTTGATGGTCCAGTTGGGCACCTTTAAGACCAACAAAGCTTTATTCTGTGTATAAGCTTACATGTGCATGCACACGTCTTTAGATATGGTTTGAAAAGCAGTTGACAACGCTGCTGTTCATGTTGCAACTATGATACTGCGATGGTCTTGGAAGCAGTGTTGCCTCTAAGCTGAGTTGGTGTGAGCTAGCTCACAGTTTTTAGCCTCCAGCTCACACCTTTTTTGTCTTCGCTCAGGAAGGAGGGCTCCAGAGCAAACTCATGTATGCAGTAGCCAAATCGCTCGCTCGCGACTTCAATGCCCCAGGAGCTCACAAAGTGGGATTTTTGCTCATAGGACTCCACAGCTTAGAGGGAGGCATTGCTTGGAAGTGAAGCTTCTCTGGGCGGGGGTGTGTGTAATAAAATGTGTACCTCGGGGTGGGAGGGGAATGAGCTTTCTTCTTCCTGTATTCTATGCTGAGTCTTCTTGTTCCAATTAAAATGTTGCAGGCGAAGCGGAGATAGAGAGTGACGATGACGACGACTACGACGATGAGTGCAAAAAATCATCAATGGAAGAAGTAAGGGATTAATCGCTTTCAAGTACATGTTGCCTTGACAGGACTTCTGGAAGTACGGTTTGCATTTCTGCCGACATGACTAAGTGCAAGACTGCCATCTTGTGGATGCCGAGGACTAATAGCCGGCCGCAAACATTTAGAGAGCTGTGCTGAAGGGATCCAGTGGTTGAGATAACCCTGTCTGAAGCGTGTAGGACCCCCAGTTGCCCCTTCTAATGGGGGGGGGGGTTTGGTCTGCTCAGTGTCCGTGTGATGGAGAACCCTTCTGGGGCCTTGAGTGGAAATCAGCAGGTCTGACGCAAGGAGGCCAGCGAAGAGTGTGGACCGAAACACAATCCAATGCTCCCCCGAGCAATGGCCCATCTGACAGTTGGGGGCAATTGATAATAGACGTTTGTCCCTGGAAGGCGAGATAGCTCAGAGCCCCCAGTCGTTCCGGACACGGGTGTGTGTGTGTGTGTGTGTGTGTGCATTTGGCAAGACTCCAGCCGATACTTGTGTGTGGCTTTGGAGGAAGCTTGGCCTGTTCTCTGGATTCCTTTGAAGCGATGGGGAACACCTTGGCTCTCTGCCTGGAGAACGGCGGTCCTTTCTCTTTTGACAGCTGCGCTGCGCTCGTGTTGACAGCAACCCGTGGAGCTGGCTGGTCAGGTTGCGGTGCTACAACCGGGGGTGACTTGCCTTTTGCGAGGGTCTGTTTGTATTGGTTTGAACAGACCTTGGGCACTGGTGGTCACGGCCCTGGCTTTATGTCCCTGGATGGTAAGAGGGACAGCCCTCCTCCACCAAAGGTTGTGCCCAAAGCCACAGTGCCCTCGTCATGGTCAGGCGGGGTGGTAGTGGGTGAAAGAATGCCATACTGCATATCTGTTACCCATATAGTTTGGCATAGATCACATATTGGCAGATATATTACCCATTAAAGCGTCCCCTGATGATTCAGCCCAGAGTCTAAAATTACCTGATTGCCCCTCAGGTCTAAATGGTACGCGTGCGGAGGAGGTGGGCACGGTAGCTTAGGAGACTGATTAGTGAGAGTTTTGCTTGTCAGATCTTTAGGAGACACTAAAAATACCTGCCATTTTGAGTATCTTAGATACATTGGAGTGCCCCGTCCTTATCTGAGTGTGCCAGGAGATGTGTCACAGCTTTTTTTTTGGAAACCCAGAAGAATTTTAATAGTTGCCTCAAAATTACTTTTTGGAACGTCCCACCCCCATTCTGGCTTTGGCAACTAAGGACACCTCTTGTATCCTCCCCCCCAACAAAAAATATTCCTTAGTGCAGGCGAACAATAGGACTGCGTTTCCATCATTAGGCAAACTGCACAGCGAGAGTGGTAGTTGTCCTCAAACCTCTGACATTTATGCACTAGATTAAAAGTAAGATTGTGGAGAATTTCGGCTCATTTTGTGTTTCAAAATGAAGGGGCCTATAAAATGTTATCTCTCTCTCTCTCTCTGTTCTTTTTTTTTTAAAGAGGCTCTTAATGTTATCTCTTCGTCTGGCTGTTTGAAACCGTTTCCCTGCTCTCTGTGGCTGCTGCTTGGGTGCTGTTCCCCCACCCCCACCCCCACCCTCAGGTGATCCTGGGCAGCCTCCAGGGCCCTGCACTAGGCGGGATGATGCCACCATGCCACACGGCCAGCCCTCTTTGACTATGACACGCCACTGAGGGCAAATGAAGCCAACCTAAAGCGAGGACTTTTCTTTATAATGCCCTCGCTCTGAATGGGCAGACACTTTCCCCAAGAGGTCAGTTGGAATTCCACAGATCGAAATTTGAGTTCAGCTCTCCCCAATTCAGTTCCACTTCTTTCTTGTGAGGAACAAACCACCGAGTCATTGTTTTTCTGTTTCGTTCATTCCCCCCCCTCGTGCTATTTGAAATTAATGCATTTTCAGTGTTTGTCTTTTTGTGTCAGTTGTGTGCCACTGGCTTATAAATGGCAGGACACCCCCCCCCCCAAATGAATAGCAGGAACAAAAAATGATGGAATCAACATGGAAGTGTCAGCGGGCACATCAGTTCCTAACTTTCACCTCCCTTTTTTGTTCTTTCGGGGGAAATTGCCAAGGGGGAAGCGTTTCCCACCAGTATTGAAGACCCCGCTATTTTCACCTCCGTCCTACGTAAAATCCTGGAAGATTTTTTATGCCCATTTTGAAAGCTGTGTTCAAATAATAAGAAACAAAACAGCATAACTCGGCACGGCAGTATTGCATCAGGAATGTCCAGTGACTCTGAAATCTTGGATACTGAGAAGCAGGCTACCAGTGTCCAGTGTTCCCTCTAAGCTGTGGAGTCTTGTGAGCAAAAATCGTACTTTGTGAGCTCCTGGCATTAAAGTTGTGAGGGAGCCATTTGGCTGCCGCATCAATTAGTTTGCTCTGGAGCCCCATCCTTCCTGAGCTAAGACAAAAATGTGTGAACCGGAGGCTAAAAAACTGTGAGCTAGCTCGCACTAACTCAGCTTAGAGGGAACATTGCCAGTGTCTCAAATAAAGTTAAAGTGAAATTGAGACCTGCAGTTCAGGAGTCCCCCTCGTTTCCTGAAAGTTTGGCAGTGCCCTCTGTAGGTTTGTATCCCATCTGTCAAGTTTCCAGTAACAGGGTGTGTGTGTGTGTGTGGAATGGGACATTTCCCTCACCTCTCTCATGCATTTCTGGGGGATCCCCTTCCCCCCCCCCCAATAGCATTTGGGGATGCCGAGAGAGGTGGCAGGTGAGGAAATATTCTGTTCTGCTGATGGGAAATGCCTTCCGTTAACAGGTTGATCATGCCTTGCCACAGTAGGAAGGAATTGTTGTGTGGTGGGTTGCCTGTGTCACTGCCTAGAGGTCCAAGGGCCATTGGGGGGGGGTGGCGGCCAAGGGAGGAACCATCGAAGCCCCATCCATTAAGCAAGGAATCAGCAAGCTCTGAGAACTTGTTCCCGCTGCTCAAAATAAATGAATGAAGTCATCTTTAAACAAACAAACAAACAAACAATCAGCTGCTATGTGACTGCAGTGATGAAAGGGAGAGTGACCTTGGCTGCTTGTATTGGCGGGGGGGGGGGGGGGGGCTGGCTGTGTCTCTGCCTGGCCCTCACTGTCGAATTGGCCTCCCTCCTCTGCCTTTGCCCTGTTTCTTGCCTTTTCTGAAAAGTATGTGAGCCTCACAGTCAGGCTTGTTGTAGTTTTAATTCTTGCGTGCCGCTTGTCCAGCAGCTCTGTGTGTGAAATTTCAGCCACTGCTTTGTGGGAGAAGATTCACAGTGAATAAAGTGTTGGGGTTCACGTCTCTCCATCTTAGCGTAGCTTTAGAGGGGTTACCAGTCTTGAAAGGGTTGCTTGGCTCTTGGATGTTTTGCCACTGGCAGGGCTGGAGGAGACCGTCTGTTCCCGAGAAGCTTCCGCAGGGCTGGCTTTTGAACGGCAAAGGAGACGCCGTGACGCGGTGTGTGTGTGTGTGGGGGGGGGAGTTGGAAAGGTGCCTGAGGTTTGCTTGGGTGGCTTTCAAAGCCCTGTCAGAATGGTTGTCATCAGTGGCCAAGACTTCTCTTGATATCCGTCTCTCTGTCCCCAGGGAACAGCCGGGAGCGAGGCCATGGCCACCGAGGAAATGTCCAACTTGGTGAACTACATCCAGCCGGTGAAGTTTGAATCGTTCGAGACGTCTAAAAGTGAGCATGCAGAGTTGCGGCAGCATCCCATTTTCTTGTCTTGTCATACTCCTGTTTTACGTTGGTGGAGTTCATTAGCTTAATATCAGCATAAACCTTTTCATGCCTTTCCACTACACAGTAGGAAGCTGGACTGTCCAATAGGGTCGTCACCTGTTTGTCCGTTTGCCTGGGAAGCTTTTGAAGTGCGTGGTGGTCTTCTCGGAAGGTGCCGGTAGTTGGGCAGTGGGGGACATCGAGGCCGGAACGTGGAAGGGAAAGCTAGGATTTCTGACCCTCTGTCATGACCCCCAGCGGGTTGCCACCTTCTGCTGTCACCACCCTGGACTTCAGGTCCCTTGAGAAGGCCCAGGGAACCCTCCCAAAATGCCCCTTTTAAGCTGAGAAACATCGGCATGATGACCAGGCAGAGAACAATTAGACAAACAGTTTATTAATACAGTACTGGGGCAAGGAAAAAGAGAGAAGCTGCTTTAAAATATAGAACAGTGTCTAAAGGCAAAAATAAACAAATCTAACGTGACTACCCAGGGGTCATTTCGTAGATAAAGAGCTAGGGGAACTCATTAGCATAACTCATTAGCATATGCCACACCCCCTGACATCACCGGAAGTGTGTCATGAGGCCACACCCCCTGACATCACCGGAAGTGTGTCATAAGGCCACACACCCCACCCCCAACGGTCCCGGCCGCCGCCGGCGGCCTGGGCGGGGCTTCGTCATGTGCCCCACCCCCTTGGACCTCACCCGGGGGAACTGCGATCCCCCGTGAACCCCCCGAAATGACCTCTGTGACTACCTATTTCTCCTTAACTGTTACTACTCAAGGCCCACAACCCTTTTATACTAGGCCTGTGCCTGTTCTCACTCTGTCCCAAGTGAGGGATCTTTCTCCTCAGACCAGACTGTACCCTCAGCTTAACTCTGTGAGAGGGAAGACCGCAGAAGAGAAAAGAGCGCAGTTCCACAGTTCACAAAGCTTAAGTTCAGTCTCCTCACACAATCCCTGAACCCTGATTGGTTACAACCGTCGCTGAGCATTGTGGGAATTGTAGGCTGTGTCTGCTTTCCACTCCCATAACAGGTCTCCTGGGGCCTAGGCCTCACTCGGCCTGTCTCCCAGTCCTACACAGGTCATGACACCCTCCCAGTGGGTAATTCCAGCTAAGAGTCAGGTGGTGTGTGTGGGGGGCTACTTATGTGTGAAATAAAAGGCCCTTCAGGGGCTGAGAAACACCTTAGAGAGCCGGACAAAATAACGCCTGTAGGCCAGAGCAGACCTCCTGAGGGCCCCTGGTATCTTTGGCCACTGTGTGACCCAGAGTGTTGGACTGGGTGGGCCACTGGCCTGATCCAACACTGGCTTCTCCTATGTTCTTATGTCTGGGGCAAGGGATGCTCTGTATTCTTGGTGCATTGGGGGGGGGGTCAACAGTGGGAGGGCTTCTAGTGTCCCGGCCCCACTGCTGGACCTCCTGGTGGCCCCTGGTATCTTTGGCCACTGTGTGACACAGAGTGTTGGACTGGATGGGCCTTTGGCCTGATCCAACATTGGCTTCTCTGATGTTCTTATGTTCATCCTGCCACACGAGTAAAGAAGAGGCACAAGTTGCATTAGGTAATGCTGTAAGGCCAAGGAGCAGGGAAGAAAACCTTCCTATCGCACTTCTAAGTGAATGCCTCCTCACTTTTGAAAGGACCCAATGAGTTCTGTGTCATTTCTTGAAAGGCGAATGCAGGCAGTTGACATGGTGGGTTGTCAGTCCCCTGTTACATAGAATGGTGCCTTTCTTCTGAAGGCAGTAGAGTTTCTTCTCTTGCTTGACAGCTAACCTTAAAGTTCTCGTCGACAGCATATAAAGCATATTCATCTGTGGTGAGGCTGGGACCAAAAATAACTCTTGCTACTGTTCTCTAAGCTGACAGCAGTGGGGATGTAAAAAGGCTAAGAGCTCCGTCCAGTTGACGTTAAGCAGTTTCCAGTCCTGTTGATTTCAGTGGGAGAGACGTTTAAGGCCTGCCCTGAAATCAGCCCGGTACAAAGTGCTTCTTAAGCGTGGTGACAGTGTTCCCCAAGAGTTTAAACATGATGGTGTGCTAGAAAGGGTAGCAGGATTATTAATTTTTTGGCAAAACTCCTTCATTTTCATGAATAAAATGAATAGGACTGTCAATCCCATCTTCCTGCATCAATTTTATTCATTGCCCAAAGAACCTAATGGGCCAGGCTCCCGGTTTCCTGCTGCTTTCTGCCGAAACGGGCATGCTGGGAATGCACTTTGCAGCATCTTGAGAAAACAAACCACTACCTTGTTGATCCTTAAAGCATAACACACACCCCCCCGCCCCCCACTTCAAGACAGGCCATCTTGTTTCACTTGGCTTTTAGCAAGGCGGCTGACTGTGACCTCTGCTGCTGCCTTCAAAAGATTGACAGCAGCAAATAAAAATACAGTTCTACATTTGAAATGACTGTTTGTAGACCCAGCCTATGCAAAGGTTAAAAATCCCAAACCTGCATCCAGCTTTTCTGGACAACAGCCTGGCTCTTGGGTCCCAGAAGTGTACTGTAGCGTAGTTGTGTTTTCAAAACGCACCACAGAACACCACACAGAAACTGGGAGTTTTTAGCTGGAGGTGGTAATCCTTAAAGCACTTTTGACCTACTTACTAGAAGCTATAGTGTAAAGTTCAAATGCGTGTCTAAACAGGTGTTTTGTGTGGGGGGGGGGGTGGAGGAGCTCACGCTTTGGTTGAGTTGGCTGGCCACCAAGAATGTCACCACCTCTGTTGTGCAGCACAATGATTCTACGCTCACGTTGTGTTGGGCAGGCTGCATGAGGTGCTAAGTCTGCACAGGTCTTCGTCTGCATTTACGGATGATGTACTTGAGGCTCCACACACTCTGGGACTTCCAGATTCAGGGGGGGTCGGCCGTGTTGGTCTGAAGCAACAGAACAAAGTTTGAGTCCAGTTGGGCACCTTGAAGACCAACAGAGTTTCATTCTGGGCGTAAGTTGTGTGCCTGCACATGGAAGCTTATACCCAGAACTAAACTTCGTTGGTCTTAAAGATGCCACTGAACTCAAAACTTTGTTCTTTGGGACTTTCAGTAAACCCCAAACCCAGTGGGAAGAAGAATATTGTAAAGTCTACTGTGGTATCATGCTGTGCGTGTGACAAGCGATGTGCTACAAGATACCTGACTATCTCTTGGTCATGTACAATGCGACGGTGGCTGCGGTTGTGAGCGCTTCGTGTGCATCGTTTGGCCAATTAAGCATGCCTTGACTGTCTCGTTGCGGTCTACACCCCAGGAGATGTGTGACTCATCCCTGACTCCCGCTGGAAACGGTGGGCGTGAGCATAAAAAATGGATGTGGAGTCAAAGCCTAAGGCTGCGTTCCGAACAAACCCACGTGGAATTAAACTCTTTTGAAGTTGGTCGGCCTCGCCTCTAAAGTAAATATTTAGGCTCAGGATAGAAGCCTTTTCTGTCGGCACCGGTACAATTCCGGCTGGTGTTTGTTGAGGTCTCCTACTGTATGTGCTGCCTGGCACAGAGTTTCCATGCCGGCAGTGCTTATTCCTGTCAGCGGCTGATACGAGCGCAGAAACTCTGGTCGCGTGAAATGTTACAGTCACGTGATGACCAGCAGAACGCATGGCAGCTGTGGGAAGGGTCACATGGAGGCCGTGTCCAATCACCAGCCCCGAAGACATCAGGTCTTCCTGAAGAAGCAGCCGGATTGGTGCTGCAGCTGCTGCTACGCAGCCCAGTGTCTGCCCTTCTCTCCATTCATGATTAAGGAAGTCCGGCACAGAAACCGTCCGGTTCAGAGCCGCCTGTCACCAGGCAAAGCCTTGTGGATTTTCCTGTGCTCCCCAAAGGTCTCAGGAATGATGATTGGCCAGCACTTCTTTGTGATTTCTCCTTCAGCATCCTTTTTCAGGTTTATGAGGACTTCAGGACGAAACCTACAAGTGAAGAGCAAGAGTCCAGGGGCGGGGGTTGCAAGGTCCCGCCTGGCTGCTAGCTGGGGGCTCCAGGGTCCCCTCTGGGATCTTCTGGCACGCGCACCGCAGTGTCATCACCCAGAAGTGACATAATCATGTCACCAATGTTGGGGGGATGACACTCTAGTTTTTGGTCAAAACTCTATGGTTTGAGCCCCATTTCACCATAGAGTTTTGCCCAAAAACTAGAGTGTCCCCCCCCCATTGTCAGCAATGTGATGGCGTCACTTCTGGGTGACATCACCGCGTTGCGTTTGGGGGCATTCGTGGGCGGGGGAATCCTCACTCAGACCGGGGGGCCTGGCAACCCTATTGAAGACGAACACAATGTGTGGCAGGGGGTGAGCTCTCATGAGTCACTGCCCACTTCTTCAGATACAGCTAGAATGGGAGTCCATCTGTCCTTTATATCTTGGAGAGTGGAGCGATTTCAGGTCCAAGAAATAAGGACAGACGGACTCATGTTTGGTCCATATCAGAAGAAGTGACTGCGGGGACTCCGGAACGCTCCTCCCCTGCCACAGATTGTGTTAGTCTTTCAGGTGCTCCTGGACTCCTGCTCTTTTCTGCTGCTGCAGACAGACTAACAGGGCTGCCCATCTTGGATCTATCTACACACAAGTAAAGGCATTCCTCTCTTCACGTGGAACTACAATTTCCTGGGTAGCATGCCATCCGAATTTGTATACTCACCAAATTGGGGTGGGGGGAGTGGTAGACAATTAAAATCCAGGGCAGACAGTCGAAAACCCCCATCTGTAACCTCACTATTTGCGGGAAGAAGCCCGCCCTCTTAAGGCCGAGTAGCAGAGAAAGTTAATTTATTTATATCAGGGCAGGCTCAGGGCAGCACAGGGTGGTACCGTGACGCCACTCCTCCGAAGGAGACTTAAGAAAGAGTCTCGGAATTGTTTCCCGCCTTGAAGGGTTTTCAGTTTCCTGTTCTGAGGGATGTCCTGCAGCCCAACCCTTCTGCCCTCCTCCCTCTGCACCCACCTACCCCACTTCCCTGCACGGGACATCTTACTGCCGCAACACCACCGGCTTTTTAGTCCCATGAGAAAAGGCTGCCTCCACAGAGCCCTTGGCCACTTCAGTGGCTCCAGAACAGGGTGGCTCGGTGGTGGTGAGGCAAGGACTGGGGCTACAGTGAGGACTCCTCTCCACTGTCCAAAGATCTTTCCTGGGTTCCAGTTTCGTTGCAGGCATCATTGAAACTGCTGGACTTCTAAAGCCCTAAACAGGCTGGGGCCCCAAGACCCCGATTTCTTTCTCATATAACCCTCTTCACTCACCAAGAGTGGATTCTTCAGAACTCTTCTCTGGGTGCCTCCTTTGTGGAAGTGAGGAAGGCAGGGGTCATTTCAAGCAGGAACGTGCAGGAATGGCGTTCCGGGAGTAACATGCCCGGCCCCAATTTCCTGCTAGCAGTGCAGGCCCCCCTGACTCCCTGGGCCGCCCGGAGGACTCTCTGCCACCTCCGTGTAGTGGTTAGTGTTCCAGACAAGGATTTGGGAGACCCAGGTTTGAATCTGAGTTGGGGAATATCTGGAGATTTTTGAGGTGGAGCCTGAGCGGTGGGTGTTGCCTTCTGACTCACTTCCGGTGACGTCAGGGGGTGTGGCATATGCAAATAAGAACATAAGAGCTGCCAATGTTGGATCAGGCCAAAGGCCCATCCAGTCCAACACTCTTGTCACACAGTGGCCAGAAATACCAGGTGCCATCAGGAGGTCCAGCAGTGGGGCCGGGACACTAGAAGCCCTCCCAATGTTGACCCCCCCCAAGTTGTGCTAATGAGTTATGCTAATGAGCTCCTGCGCCTCTCTTTCTACGACATGACCCCTGGAGGAAGGTGTCTGCCAGAGGGAGTTTGCGCTGTCTGTGGGGTTCCTCCAGAGGGGAGCCGTGTTCGTCTGCAGTAGAACAGAACAGCTGGGGTTAAGTTCAGCAGCGCCTTTAGAGGCCAACAAGGTTTTCAGGGGGTGGTCTTTCAAGACTCAGAGCTCCCTTCGTCCCTTCGTAGGGAACGCCGTCCAGAGTGAGACTTGACTGGGGCCGTCTTGGTCATCATCATCATCGTGTGACTCGTTCTGTAGTCGAGTGTGACTTTATATCAGTGCTGTTCTTGTGTATCGGAAGCCACTTTGAATGTCCCGGGACAGAAGGCATGATAACACGGGCATCACAGTCCTTACAAAAACAATCACCACAACCTGTTTTTCTCTTAAATTTCAGAACGGAACAAGAGTTTTGAAATGTCTTCCTTTGTGGAAACCAAAGCACTCGAGCAGCTCACGAAATCCCCTGTCGAGTTTGTGGAGTATCTTTGAAATTAAGGCGGCGGGGGGGGGCAATATCTTGGTCACAACGGAGGCAAGAAAGTTGCGGAGGGCTGCCTGTGAGAGGGGCTGGCTAAGGTCTTGTGCAGTACCAGTGCGGGCACCGAGTTAATGCAGATGTTTAAGTCATGTCTAAGTTTGCACCAGAAGTGAACGAGATTCAGGCTCCCCGTCAAATGCCCGCTGCCTTGGTTTCAGCTGCAGACAAGCGGACAAAGGCCAGCCTGACCGGGGGTGTGTGTGTGTGTGGGATCCATGACTGGGCCTTCCCGTTGTTGTTGTTGTTTGTAAGGCCAGCAGCAGCCACGCTGGTCCCTGAGCTCGGCTGGGGCCGAGCACAGAGGGGAGAGATGACTTTGACCCCCCACCCCACCCTGCTGCTCTGGGATCTCACCAGCTGAAACCAGCCTTGCTCTTATTAGCTGTGGGGTGGGGGAGAAGGGTGGCCTCCTCACACTGCCCGCCTGGGTCCCTTTCTGCCGCAGGGAGTGGTTGAAGTCACTTGACAAGTCTGTGCAGTGATGGAGACAGGGCTGGTCTCAGCCACTGGGCAACGCGGGCAGTGGGAGGGGCCCTGGTCTCTCATGGCCCCTCCCCCTGAAGGAGGGGAGAGAAGGAGGAGCGCCGGAGCGCCTGCCGCCACGCACACCTGCCCTGTTGGGGTGGTGGTGGGAGCTCAGGCGACAGGCTGCTGGGGGTGGCGGCGGGGCCTGTCTCTTGCTTGCCCCCGGGGGTGGGGTGTATGTGTCAGTGATTCAGGGGCTCCCTCTGGGAGTTTTGCCCGGGGCCCCAGATCACTGAAAACACCACTGGATGGAAACTTTGAACCTTCCACCACAGCCCTGACAGGAATTGGGGTCCCACGTGGCAAGCAGCAATTGCCCTTTTAATATCATGGATGAAATCCAGTCACAGGTCTCCCGGTGTTGCGCCTGTCTTGCCCTCCACTTCCCCCCGATGGCGCTCTTCATAGATACCTTTTGCAGGGTCATTTGGGAGGCGAAGGTCTGATCGATGGCTGCTGTTTCTCTGCCTCCGACGGCCAGGATTTGGCTCTGCCCGCTTGTCTAATATTCTGCCAGATACTAGTTAATCTCCTTGGGGCCTGCAGTGCGGGTCACTACTGACACATCTGAAGTCCCGTCCTCTCTTCAGAACTGGGGATTACATCGTGGCATTGGATTTTTGAATGTTGTAATGATGAGTGTGGCGGTTTCAGCACCTGTGCCTGTAAGCCCCCCCCCCCCACGCTGAAAGGCCAGGTCGTTCATCTGGGTAGTCCCAGCTAGGGAGAGAAGGGGGGGCGCTGGGGGCACGGAATCATAAGGGGCCAGGTGAGTTGCGGCAGGCGGATGGTTGCATCATATCCGTTTTCAAACATTTTGTCCGCTTCAAGCTTTCTGCCACATCTCTCCGCCGGTCCTGCTTCACCCTTAACCTCCAAATGCAGGTATAACAAGATGCAGCTGAGTCGGATTTATCCAAAAGGGACCCGTGTGGATTCTTCCAATTACATGCCGCAGCTCTTTTGGAACGCCGGCTGTCAGATGGTCGCCCTGAATTTCCAAACTGTCGGTAAGTGCCCCTCCGCCCTGCGGCTTGCTTTATTTCGAGAGAAATGTGACGATAAAATTAACGGTTTGTGAAGTGAAAATGTAAGCACGGCATGCACATTTCTGCTAAAAATAGGGGTCTTTTAAAAAATCATTAGCTTAAAATGAGTAGCTTCTGTTCCTGGCTTTAGACCACCAAGCGTTAAATGGAACAAACATTCAGCATCACATATTTTAACTTGGTATCGAAAGGCTGTGTGTTTCCAGGCAGGCGCTTATTGGGCTGTCGTCTAGCAAACTCATCTCATTGCGATGGCTCTGCCCGAGAGGTAGGGATGGTAATCCAGGCTCTGTGCCGATACTAATCTGGGGGAAGGCAATTAATGACAAAGTATTTGATTAAGAAAATGTAATTAGTCTTGTAGACATCCACAGCAGGAGATCACTGGATGATTTGGTTTTGTTTTGTTTAACCGGATTCCTGCTAAAATTTCAAACACCATCAGGTAAGTGAACCAGAGGCCGGTCAGTAATACCTCTAAGCCTTTGGCAGGAATCCCGTTATGTGGAGTATTAACTCCCGCTGTGGACCCCAATTCCCAGGGAGCCGGCCTCCTCTCCCCTGCTGTGAAGAATCTGCCACCCTGTGGGCAGAGCGTCCACTCCTGACCCCAGGCCGTTGTGGCTTCGATGGAAACAAAGGATGCCTGCAGAGTGGCTCGGAAGACCATTCTCCCCCTCCGAAAAGAGAGGCCGGTGTGACCCCACCACATCCACACGATGGACGATTACCGTGTCCCTTTTAGTCCTCATGCCCATTTCCCACCATTCAGTACCTGATGTAGACAGACACTGGGGGAAAGCAAAGAGCTCGTTCACATACACAGTGTACAAACAGAAGACCATTCGTGCAGTCTCAGTGATTCCTGCTTTGTCATTAACACATTCTTCACCCAAAAAGTAATTAGCACGTGGCATTCACTGTTGCAGGAAGTGTCGGCGGCTACAACCATAGACAGCTTCAAAAGGGGATTGGATCAACATTTGGAGCAGAGGTCCATGAGTGACTACTAACCACAAATTATAGGTGGAAGACTTTCTCTGCGGCAGGGCTGCTCTGTCTTCTTGGTGCTTGGGGGGCAAGAGTGGGAGGACTTCTGGAGTTCTGACCACTCTGGTGGACCTCCTGATGGCCCCTGGGTTTTGGCCACTGTGTGACACTGGCCTGATCCAACATGGCTTCTCTCTTATGTTCTTAAGAACTGTGTCCAGAGCCCCTGAGAAAAAGCCATTATATGTACCCAGGGTAAGACAGAGCTGCTCATTTGTGGTCAAAAATGTCCCGTGTGATGGTGACCACTGAAGTCTGGAGACCTCAGGCGGAGACTTGGGGTGGTTCTGTTGTCAGTGTGCTGGAACACCATGGAACTCTTATGGAATGACAACGTTTGTTCTGTTAACACTCACACATAGACGCTATCTTGTTTTTGTTGCTTAGATTTGTCTATGCAAATAAACATGGGAATGTATGAATACAATGGCAAAAGTGGCTACAGACTAAAACCAGAGTTCATGAGGAGACCCGACAAACAATTTGACCCGTTTGCAGAAGGGATCGTAGATGGAATCGTGGCAAACACTTTGTCGGTGAAGGTACGTGGGCTGTTGCTCCTGGGTAAGTCCTGCAATATACTTGCCCTAAACTTTAAAGATCAAAGTGAATTTTCAGGCCAAGTAATTGCAAAGGCTATGCATGTGCAGATTGAAGTGGGTTTTCCTTTTAAGTATGTGAAATCCATGACCAGGGAACGATCACGCTTGCATGTATATTTGAGAGGAAAGCAGCAGTTATCCCCACGGTGGGAAGAAAGGAGCCGATAAAGCTGGAAGAGACAGCAAGCTGCAGCCTGCCGAACTGACACACACCAAGGGCTTGGGCACAATCACACCAATGACCGTCTGCACACTTCTCTGGGGAGTGGACTGGAGGAGGCCGATGTCCCCCGGCTCTGAGGGCCTACCGTCATGGCCTCTCGCACCTACCAGTGTGGCAGAACCCCATCTCAGCTGCCAGGGCTAAGGGGACCTCCGGAGGGTGAGGTTGTGGTGCTCAGCACCCCCCAAGAAGAAAGCCCCTCCCAAAGCACAAGTGATGCTCTGACAGTGAAGCAGGTGAAGTCCCGTGCTGCCAGCCCAAAGAGGGACTGGTCAAGGTGATCGATTCAGGTGGGGTCGCCGTGTTGATCTGAAGCGGCAGAAACCAAGTCTGAGTCCAGTCAGGCACCTTGAAGACCAACAGAGTTTAATTCTGGGCGTTTAATTCTGACATGAAAGCTGATACCCAGAATTAAACTTTGTTGGGCTTCAAGGTGCCTGACCGGACTCAAACTTTGTGCTGTTGGTCAAGTGGAATGGGCAGAGACACCACCCTTTTGTTCAAGCTGGTGCCCGAGCGGAAAGTTGTTTCCTCGCCCGAGAACTGGCTAGCAACAGAGTGAACGAGCATGCCCAACAACCGGCCTACCAAGAAGGAAAGTAAAAATAGGTCCACAGCAAGAAATCGCTGCCCGTGTTATGCCCTGGAGGCAGCCCAGTGTGGAGGTGTCTTCACTGTGGTCCATTCCTAGCCGAGACTAAGCCTCCCTTCGGGCTAGTATTGCTCGTGGCCCCAGCCGTGGGGCAGATCAGGCCAGTGCCCAAGGAGTCGCAAGGATGCCCCATGTTCCAGGGCATGGACCCTGGCCCCCCATCCTTACAAGCAATTCACAACTAGCATGAAATGGTTGGTGGCAATGTCACTAGAAGCAGTCAGACATTTCCCTTTCTCTGTTTCCCACTGTCCTGCATAGCTTGCCTTCCAATGTTTGGGTAAAGATCTGAGAAAATTGTTGGCCTAAACCAAGCCCGACAGATATGGTTTATTTCATTGGTATTTGATATCAGTATTTTTATATAAATATTTTACTGATAAATGATTTTATGCTGATATTTGGGGGGGGGGGAGGAGAAGCCCAGTTTTGGATTTTGCCACTTCCCAAGCTGTTCAGTTAGTTGACTAGGATACGCATATTGAATTTTTCCTGCCTCCCCGATAGTTCTGTACCAAGCCTCAAGCAACAATTTTAATTCCGTGGGAGTTTAAATTGTAGTTTGGCATTTCTGTCGTGTCTGATCCGAGAAACCTTCGAAATACCACTGTAGGCAGTCTTTCACTTGGAGAACAGCCACATCACCAAATGTTTATGTATAGCTGGAAACAATATCCCTTTGCCTATTGAAGTGTCCCCGCTTTGGAAAACTGAGGTGGTAACATGTCACTGATTGTGAATTTCTTTTTCTTAACCCCCCCCCCCAAAAAAAGTGGAGAAATAATTTAGAAGCATCTCTTAACCATTTAGGAACAAAACACTAAACCATCCCAGCCGCTTCCCCCTTTACTGAGGTGAACTCAGAGAAGATTTCTGTCTTACGGAGCCATACGGCCTCCAGAGGTAGCGTCAGGTATTCACCGTGCGTCAAAGGAGGGTCGTTGACTTAGGGCCTCGGTCCAGCCATGCCACGTGGTTCAGCTGCACACACCTCATGGATTGCAACCAAGCCAGTAAGAATCAGTTGGGCTGAACCGGTCCCAACCAACGCGGGTATTTCCCCACCACCGGCATATAACGAACTACATAACCCATTGACCTTCATGGAGGACTGCTGCATTTTCCCAAGGCCTGCCCATGATTCTATTAGCCATCGTCATAAGAAGGTGTAAAATTAGGTCCTTACAGATGAGGGTGGCGTGTGCTGGCTGCCTTCATGATAACATCATGCAGGTGTGTGTAACTCAGAGTGCCTGGGAATCTGGGATCCTAAGTCATGCCAATCTTAAGGTGTGTTGCCCAGATATTAAAAACTTAGAGCAGGACACTTCCTGAGCCCCACGGTCCTGCCAGAAAGTTCCAGGGCCCTTATGCAGAAACTAGTAGCGAGCCATGATTGTAAAGGATTGCAGGCCCGGGGCCCAGGGCTTATTGAGGAGAGGTCTTGCGGAGAACACTGACACGCAACCACAATATTTTGCAATAAAGAACAGGCCATGGCTTTTATTGATTACAGGCCAAGGAGCTCTCGTGACGTATGGGGGCAGATCCTGGCCAGTCGAGCAACCTGTCCATCCCGTGGCCCGTCGGCTGGGGAAAACCTTGGAGTGACAAATATTATTGGTATCACAACGGTGGCTGCCACTGAGTGGTACCATTCGAAGCCTGGGGTGAGCCTGGGCACAGCCCCTGAGCTGGGCACACCGCGTGGTGGCTCAGAATCCCAGACCCAAAATCCCAGGGAGGAAGGGTGGGTGGGGATCCAAGCGAGTGTCACACCACTGCCCCAAACTTCCCGGGCTTCCCCGGGCTGGCCCATGGATGATGTCGGCTGGCCAGTGCAGTCACCTGAGGCTCCAGCCTTTGACCACCGTCAGCCCAAGGGCGGGAAGGCCTCCTCCCGACCCCTCTTCAGCCCGGCTGCAAACCAGCCATGTTGGGTCATTCACAGCCATGCTTGTTGCTATAAGTTAGCGCCTGTTGAAATGGCTCGGCCTGCCTCTCGTGTTTGAAGAAAACTCTCCAAGTTCTTGTTCCAGGCTCGGCTGGACCCTGGAAAAAATATTCAAACCAAATGGAGCGGGAAGGAAGGAAAGAACAAAAATAAAAACTTTTATTATGAGTTGTGTATTCTCAACTGAGCTTTTTAAAGCTTTGGCTGAAAATATACATTTGTTTTTTACTTTATGAGAAAACATGGAGATTGTATTTTCAATTAACCAATCTCTTCTCTGTGATCATCGCCTATGGAAGAACAAGTCAATTAATTCGCTGTGTTAAGTGTGTAGGTTGTTCCCTTCAGGTACCCACAGGACCGTTTCACGGCAACATTCAGAGATTGGTGCAGGCTAGTTAATTCATTGCAGCCTGGGCCTTGGTTCAGAAAGCTGCCGGCCCCACACAATTGCTTCATGAGCCTGTGGAGTCACCTGGTGGCATTGTGTGGGGATACCCACTCTGCAGATTCTGCGGTCACAACAAGGGTGCCGAATGGGATGTTTAGTGGCTCTGTCCATGGGAGGAGACCAAGTCCAACGAGGCAACACCTCCCAGAGCCACACTTGTGTGCACAGTAGAGACGTACGGACTAGCTTCACGACTGTAACTTTATCTACCTGTCACTGTTGATCCCAATGCCCAAATCTTGGATTTTTCAGATCATTTCTGGGCAGTTCCTGTCTGATAAAAAAGTTGGGACTTACGTGGAAGTGGACATGTTTGGCCTGCCCGTGGACACGAGGCGGAAAGCTCTCAAGACCAAGACCTCCCAAGGCAATGCTGTGAACCCCGTGTGGGAAGACGAAGTGGTCGTGTTTAAGAAGGTCAGGCTCTGGTTCTCGTTTTGTGACTGCCCAGAAGAAGTTGTTGTTGTTGTTGTTGGTTGTTGTTGTTGTTGTTGTTATTATTAGCCTTTATATCCCGCCCATCCTGCAGGGCGGGTAACATCATTAGAATAAATACAATTTCAGTTTAAAACATTAAAGACTAATACACGATAAGACATTATAGCAATTAAACCAATGGGGTCCTGCTTGGAACAGCGTCAGTGGGCTATAAAGTTCTGGCCCGATGGTACAACGAGTTAAAGGCCAGTTGTCAGTGACCAGGACTCAGGAGACAGGCGCCCGCTGCCTCAGGGCCTGCCTGGCGGAAGAGCTCCGTCTTGCAGGCCCTGCGGAATGGAAGGAGACCCCTATGCGGGGGGGGGGCTGGTCTCAATAGGGAGCCTGTTCCACCAGGCGGGGGCCAAGCAACAGAGAAAGCCCCGGCCCTGGTCGAGGCAAGGCGGGCGTCCTTTGGGCCGGGGACCCGAAGTTAAAGAATGTCACCTTCTCCGCCCTCCACAAAACACTGCCCACTTGCCTCCTGCTCCAGCTGAAATTAGTAAAAGTCTCTTTGTTTCATTGAAGCTGGACTGATCTGTTTAAGAAACTTACGTGCTCCTTGTTACTATTCCACTCCAGGATCTTCAAAGACACACATCCAGATGGTTGTGGCAGTCGCTTGTATTAACACTGAATTAATAGGACCTTTTCGAAGGCGACTGACTGATGCTTAATGAATTAAGAATGGTAACAAGGAGCAAGTGATAAAGGGGGACTTGGAAACAAGGGATTCCCCCCACACACACGCACACACACTGTTTTTGTCAAACACTGGGAAGAGGCAAGTGGGTGTGTGGAGGGGGAAATCACTCTTACTGTGCAAGGGTTTGCCCGTCCTTGGCCCGTGTTTCGATATCTACTGCAATGGGAATTCATAGGTGTGTGTTCCCTCTAAGCTGAGTGAGTGTGAGGTAGCTCACAGTTTTCTAGCCACCGGCTCATGCATTTTGGTCTTAGCTCAGGAAAGAGGGCTCCAGAGCAAACTCATTGATGCAGCAGCCTAATCGCTCGCCCACAACTTTCATTCCAGTAGTTCACAGAGTAGAAGTTTTGCTCACAAGACTCCGCAGCTTAGCGGGAACATAGGTGTGGATTATATAACTGAGTTATAACTGGCCTTCCATCCACTGGACAGCTTACATCGAGGGTTAAAACAGCCACTATGGTAAAAACCACTCATAAAATAAAATAAGCCATGTTAAGAGCTAGCAGTTTCTTTTTTCAATGGAAGGGAACACCCACCCACATAAACGCCCAGGTGAACAGCAGCATTATTCCACAACCCTAAAGTGGGTATTGTCCCAGTGCTGAATCGGAAAGCCAGCACTGAAGAGAGACGGGAGTTCCGTAAATGGCACACTCGTGTGACACCACAGTGGTGCTGTAGGTGGTGGGAGGTCGTGAAGAAAGGCTCTGAAAACCCTCTCCCGGTTTCTGGGTCACTTCCTATGAGGGAGAGAGACCCTTGTTGAGGCCATGATCTCAGTCCCCTTTAGAATTGAGCCAGGAACGTCACCAGCAACCTGTGATGTGGTATGAGATCACTCGTACGCTCCATGTGGCCCAGTATGCCCATCCGCACCCTCGTGGCTGCTACTATCATATGATCTGGATGTCTTGAAGGCGTGAGAACCTGCAGCCAGGTTCTTTTCTCCTGGGCAAGGAAGCAGGTGGCACGTTAACTGAAGCAGGTGGCAAGCACTGCAGCACACCATTTCCCACTCAGCTATACCAGATCAATACTGGGTCGAAGAGGTATCCCCAGAATGCGAACATGAGGTTCCAGAGGCAATACAGCCCCCTCCAATATGGGCAATACTGCTTCTCTCAGGTCGGCTGAATTGGATGGCACCTCCATTCCACTCATATTAAACTTTAGTTGGTTGATCCCATCTAGTCCATCAACTCTTTTGGGTGCTGATTTGGGACTGACAGTGTTGTACTCAGGCCCATAGCCATGGTGGGGCACTTCGGGGCCATGCCCCCTTAATTCACAGCCACTTGAAGGTTAGAGGAAGATTTGAGGAGCTTTGATAATGTGGCTGGTAAGGGCAACAGATAGAGTCCAGGAAGCAAGTGGTAAGTAAAAGGGAGAAGGAAATGTGGAGGAAATCGGGCCCAAAGAGTGGGATGTCAGACTGTCTTAAGGAAGAGGAGGAGGAAATTGGGGTTTCAGCAACATGACCCAAAGAAAGCAACCAGAGAGAAGGGGAATAAGAAAGGATAGATAGAGAAGGGGGTGGGGAGGAAAGATGTGATAGTGAGGTGTCTGTGAAGAAGAAGAAGAAGAGATTGGATTTATACCCCCCGCCTTTCGCTACCCAAAGGAGTCTCAGAGCGGCTTACAACCTCCTTTCCCTTCCCCTCCCCACAACAGACACCCTGCGAGGTAGGTGGGGCTGAGAGAGCTCTGACAGAAACAGCTCTTTTTCAAGGACAGCTCTTGCCAGAACTATGCCTTGCCCAAGGTCATCCAGCAGCTGCAAGTGGAGGAGTGGGGAATCAAACCCTGTTCTCCCAGATTAGAGTCCGCGCACTTAACTACTGCACCAAACTGGGTATGGCAGGGCTCATCAGCAAAGCTATAACCTCTCCCTATAGGCACCTGTCTATATACATTCCCACCATCTGCTATTAATCCGGTAACAAATTAAATAATTTTAGCACTAGCCAATTCACCAGTTAACTCAGAAGACCATTATATCTTCTATTGTGGCCAGGAATCTCGTAGAAAAAATGGTGTGGCCTTTATAGTCAACAAGAGAGTGCAAAAGTCAGTACTGGGATACAATCTCAAAAATGACAGAATGATTTCGGTCCGATTCCAAGGCAAACCATTCAACATCACAGTAATCCAAGTCTATGCCCCAACCACTGATGCAGAAGAGGCTGAAGTGGACCGATTCTATGAAGACCTACAACACCTCATAGAACTAACACCAAAAAATGAGGTCCTCATCATCATAGGGGACTGGAATGCTAAAGTAGGAAGTCAAAAGGTAACCGGAATAAAAGACAAGTTTGGCCTTGGAAAGCAAAATTAAGCAGGGCAAAGGTTAACAGAGTTTTGTCAAGAGAACACACTGGTCATAGCGAACACCCTTTTCCAACAACGTAAGAGGCGACTCTACACATGGACATCACCAGATGAGCAACACCGAAATCAGATTGACTATATAATTTGCAGTCAAAGATGGAGAAGCTCTATCCAGTCAGTAAAAACAAGACCTGGAGCTGACTGTGGTTCAGATCATGAGCTACTCATTGCAAAATTCAGACTTAAACTGAAGAAAATCGGGAAAACCATGAGGCCATTCAGGTTTGACCTAGATCACATCCCTGATGAATATACAGTAGAGGTGAAGAATAGATTCAAGGGTCTGGATTTGATAGATAGAGTGCCTGAAGAACTATGGACGGAGGTTCGTGACATTGTACAGGAGGCAGCAATCACCACCATCCCAAAGAAAAAGAAATGTAAGAAAGCAAAGTGGCTTTCTGATGAGGCTTTACAAATAGCAGAGGAAAGAAGGAAAGCGAAAGGCAAAGGCGAAAAGGAAAGATTTACCCAACTGAACGCAGATTTCCAGAGAACAGCAAGGAGAGATAAGGAGGCCTTCCTGAATGAACAGTGCAAAGTAATAGAAGAAAACAATAGAATGGGAAGGACTAGAGATCTCTTCAAGAAAATTGGAGAAATCAAGGGAGCGTTCCATGCAAAGCTGGCCATGATAAAGGACAAAAACGGTAGGGACCTAACAGAAGCAGAAGAGATTAGGAAAAGATGGCAAGAATACACAGAAGAACTATACAAGAAAGACCTCGATGTCCTTGACAACCACGACGGTATAATCACTGACCTCGAGCCAGACATCCTGGAATGTGAAGTTAAATGGGCCTTAGAAAGCATTGCTAACAACAAAGCTAGTGGAGGTGATGGTATTCCAGCTGAGCTATTCAAAGTCTTAGAAGATGATGCTGTTAAAGTGCTGCACTCCATTTGCCAGCAAATTTGGAAAACGCAACAGTGGCCACAGGATTGGAAAAGGTCAGTATACATTCCAATCCCAAAGAAGGGCAACGCCAAGGAATGTTCAAACTATCGCACAATTGCACTCATATCACACGCTAGCAAGGTCATGCTCAAGATCCTACAAGCTAGGCTTCAACAGTACGTGGATAGAGAACTGCCAGAAGTACAAGCTGGGTTTCGAAGAGGTAGAGGAACTAGAGATCAAATTGCCAACATTCGCTGGATTATGGAGAAAGCAAGAGAGTACCAGAAAAATATCTACTTCTGCTTCATTGACTATGCTAAAGCTTTTGACTGTGTGGATCACAACAAACTATGGCAGGTCCTTAAAGAGATGGGAGTACCAGACCACCTCACATGTCTCTTGAGAAACCTGTATAAGGGTCAAGAAGCAACAGTTAGAACCGGATATGGAACAACTGATTGGTTTAGCATAGGAAAAGGAGTACGACAAGGATGTATATTGTCGCCTTGCTTATTTAATATATATGCAGAGTACATCATGCGAAATGCTGGCCTGGATGAATCACAAGCGGGAATTAAGATTGCTGGGGAAAAGATCAACAACCTCAGATATGCAGACGATACCACTCTAATGGCAGAAAGTGAAGAGGACCTAAAGAGCCTCTTGCTCAGGATAAAAGAGGAGAGCGCAAAAGTGGGCTTGAAGCTCAACATCAAAAAAACTAAGATCATGGCATCTGGCCCCATCACTCCTTGGCAAATAGAAGGGGAAGTCGTGGAAGTAGTGACAGACTTCACGTTCCTGGGATCCCAGATCACCGCAGACTGTGACAGCAGCCATGAAATTAAAAGACGCCTGCTCCTTGGGAGGAAAGCGATGGTGAACCTAAACAGCATGATAAAAAGTAGAGACATCACCCTGCCAACAAAAATACGCATG